GTTATATGTCCTGTGGCCGTTTAGATAAACCGTTATAAACTATAAAAAAGTTTAGAGTTCTTAAGTCGGCCAATCACTGATGGTTTTTAAAGTTAAACCCACCATTCACAGACATAGAATAAACCGCTACGTTTACTTAGGTCGCTACGTTTACTTAGGTCGCTACGTTTACTTAGGTCGCTACGTTTACTTAGACCGCTACGTTTACTTGGGTCGCTACGTTTACTTAGGTCGCTAAGTTTACTTAGGTCGCTGCGTTACTTAGGCCGCTACGTTTATATACCTAGGACGCTACGTTTACCTAGGCCGCTACGTTTATATACCCAGGTCGCTACGTTTACTTAGGTCGTTACGTTTACTTAGGCAGCTACGTTTACTTAGGCTGCTACGTTTACTTAAGCCGCTACGTTTATATACTTAAGTCGCTACGTTTACTTAGCTCGCTACGTTTATATACTTAGGTCGCAACGTTTACTAAGGTCGCTACGTTTACTTAGGTCGCTACCTTTACTTAGGTCGCTACTTTTACTCAGGCCGCTACGCTTACTTCGGCTGCTACGTTCACTTAGGTCGCTACGTGTACAGAAGCAGGTTCTGATAGTACTGTCCCTGAACTATACTCGTCTGCAGTTGACCTGATGCATTCAACCAGTTTACCTTGCACAAGCTCGGCCGCCTGACATGCCGAGACGTGTAGGAGATCATGGCTGGACCAAGAGCGACCTTCTGACGTTTAATGGTCGAACACAATTCGACAAATGAATGCAACAGGATAAACATGGGGCATTGATGAATTTCTGAGTATTTCAACGGTGAATTTCTCAGTAATTCAACTGTGAATTTCTGAATAATTCGATGGTGGATTTATGAATAATTTAACGGCGAATTTCTGAATAATTAAACGGTGGATTTCTGAATAATTCAACGGTGAATTTCTGAATATTTAAACGGTGAATTTCTGAATAATTCAACTGTGGATTTCTGACTAATTCAACGGCAAATTTCTGAATGATTCTACGGTGGATTTTTGAATAATTCAATGGTGAATTTCTGAATAATTCAACGGTGAATTTCTGAATCATTCAACGGTTAATTTCTGAATAATTCAACGGCGAATTTCTTAATCATTCAACGGTGAATTTC